AAAAAAAAAAAGCGGATAAAAAAAGAAGATTAAGTTTTTCTCAAAAACGATGGCAATATTAATAACAGCAAAACGATAACAAGGAGAGGATAACTGAAGCACTAGAAATGAATCTTTCAAGTTAATTATTGGATGCCAAATACAATTCTCTTCAAGTTGCTGTTTTTGAATCTTGACGTTACTTTTGCGGTAATTGCATCAATTGTTGCTTTTGTTATCACCGTAACTGTAATTTCTGTCATAGGTGAAAGACCTAAGATCCATCAGTTGTTCAACTATCTTAATAGATTTTTTAAGCTGTAATACAAATATAAGTTTTGCATCATTATAGGAATTAAAATCTTCTCTCCTAACAACAGTGATTTGGTTTCATTATCAAAGAAAACGTGGTGAGAAATAGCTACGAAGTGGAATGGTGGAGACCAGATTAGCGCTTGAATAGCAACAGAACCCAACCAAGTAGCACTTGACTTGCAGTTTCAAGTGCAACTATTTTGGGAGCGATAATGTTGATTAGTCACTAATAATATAAACATTTTTCTAAAACTTGAAAATATTTTTAGAATAAGATGTTTGAAGCAAAAAAATATATATATATATTTTTTGCATTCAACTTGGTTTTAAATTTAGAACGTAATGTAGTGCAAATTTTATTAATAACTGAGAAACTCTTCAATGTTGGCTCATCCTTCCGTCAGCATCTTTCTCGCCAGTCATACTCATCGTTATTACGTATCATCTCAATCATTCATCTCTATCGACATCACAAATCATCACAGTCATCAGCTTTTCCAACACATCCAACCAAATGCATCAACTTTTCCGCAACATCAAACACAATTTTTCATTTGCTTTTTTTTTTTTTCTGTTATTATTACTGTTGATGTAATAAATTTTTAGATTAACAGAAACTGATACAACAGCCCTCGTTTGTTCACAAAAAAAAAAGCCTGTTTTTTTTTAGCCAAATGTTCTTTTGAAGCTATTTGAGAAAGCAGAAAAACAGTGAAAAAAAAATGAAGTATATATCTGGTACAAAAAAAGCGAATAAAAACTGATTCAAAAAAATAAATTGTGCATAAAAATGTTTTGGAAAAATTATTTTTGGCCACTATGAGACGATAATAATTTGTGACATCAAGCTTGTTTTTGCTTGTTTATTCGGTTTTTTTTTGTATATGGGAACAGAGTGGAACAAAAAACGGAATGGGAAAACGAAAACCGAATGAAGAACACAGTGAAGTGGAAGAGGAAGTGAAAAAAAACTGTTTTTCCCGTCATACCGATTCAAAAAATTTTTTTACCATCAAAAAAATAAGAATTTGAAATAAAAAGAGATTTATTTTCTCAGACTTTGATAAAGAGATATGTAAAAAGGAAGAAAAAAAAATACCGGGGTAAATTGGTCGGCTCATACAGGGAAGGAGGTTGGAAAGGAGATTGAAATAGGATAAAGAACGGGGGC